ATTTAAAATGGAGTGTGGCAAAATGGAAGACTGTTCTGTGGTCAGATGAGTCACGATTTGAAGTTCTTTATGGAACACTGGGACGCCATGTCATCCAGCCCAGAGAAGACAAGGATAGCCCAAGTTGTTATCAACGCTTCGTTCGGAAGCCTGCTTCATTGATGGTATGGGGTTGCATGAGCGCTTGTGGCATGGGCAGCTTGCATGTCTGGAAAGGCACCATTAATGCAGAGAACTATGTTCAGGTTCTAGAACAACATATGCTCCCATCTAGACATCATCTCTTTCAGGGAAGACCCTGCATTTTTCAACACGATAATGCCAGACCACATTCTGCAATCACAACATCATGGCTACGTAGGAGAAGGATCCAGGTACTGAAATGGCCAGCCTGCAGTCCAGATCTTTCACCTATAGAGAACCTTTGGCACATCATAAAGAGGAAGGTGCGACAAAGAAGGCCCAAGATGATTGAACAGTTAGAGGCCTGTATTAGACATGAATGGGAGAGCATTCCTATTTCTAAACTTGAGAAACTGGTCTCCTCTGTCCCCAGACGTCTGTTGAGTGTTGGAAGAAGAAGGGGGGATGCCACACAGTGGTAAAAATGGACTTGTCCCAACTTTTTTGGGATCTGTTGACGCCATGAAATTTGGAAACAACAGATTTTTCCCTTAAAATGATACATTCTCTCAGTTTAAACTTTTGATCTGTGATTTGTGTTCTATTCTGAATAAAATATTAGATGTTGGCACCTCCACATCATTGCATTCAGTTTTTATTCACAATTTGTTTAGTGTCCCAACTTTTTTGGAATCCGGTTTGTAGTTACTTGGCTAGAATGCCAACGACCAGTGATTCAACTTCAAGTAAGCAAAGTACCAGCTGACAGGGTTCACTGACCGAACTGTTCGAAGGTATTACTCCGTATGAACATAATTTAAAACGGCACTCGGAAATAACTCGAGCAGTAACGGAGTTCATAGCGAAATATATGATGTCCATTAATAAAGTGACCAAGCCTGAGTTTACAGCTTTGGTAAACACAGTGGATAAGTGGTACAGAACGCATTTGCGCACACATTTTAGCCAAGTTGCTGTCCTGGAGCTACACAAAAAAATGCAGAAAGAGTTGCAGCGGGGCTGAAAACAACAGAAACAGATTTTTTGCTTTTGTTTGTTGAAAAATACATGAGAAGAAGACACTGAAAAATAATCACATATTAAATCACAATATTGAGGTTAAAAAAAATTTTCAATTAGAACATTTTCCAAAATCGTTCAGTCCTAACAGCCACTGACCAAAAAAGATGGCCCAGCACAGAAGATCAACACCATCAGGCCAGGACTCTGCGGTCTACACTCATCTCCAGGCCAGCGGTCACTCTTTCAAGGATGAAACAACAGACAGAGAGGAACGATGGTTTGAGAGAGGAGTAAAGGAGGCCATCTTTGTGAAAAGAAACCGTCCATCATTAAACAGGGGTGGAGGCCTCCAGGTTCAACTGTCCCCCTCTTACCTTGCTGTGATTGCTAGTATCACTCAGCCTCCTGTGAATAATAAACAGCCATCAGGTGCTAATGATCCATCGTTAGGCTGATGGTCCTTCTTGATCATGTGAGCAGCTAGTTCTGGATGTCACCACACTATGTGAAGGAGCTATTGATAAGACTGAGTTTGTTGGAGCTCCTCAGACTGATGAAGCCTTGTGGATAAAAGATGAACCGTTTCAACAAGACCAATCTGTCCAGAGGACCTGACTCAACCTGGTTAGATAGGACTAAAGTCATTTATCAAACCTAGGAGATCTGAAAAGTAATTGTTGGTGTATTAATACATGCTCATGTCGAACTGTCTGTTGTCTGTACATTTACCCTGCAGTTGCTGGTTGTTTTCCTCACAGAGTTAATTTACATCTTCCACATTTCTCTACAGAGGATGGAGATCATGGGCGGAGGGATGGTGCTGTGAAGTGAAGGTACCGTGTACAAACTGGATGCAAACCTCCTCAGAAGGTCTATACTGTACATTCTACGTGCCACGCCACCGGGCTTCCCATCACAGCTGAGATGAAACAAAAGTCTGTCGTTTCATTCTTTTTTTTTTGTTTGTTTGTTTGTTTTTTACTCACCACATCTGGAACTGATTATAGCCGTTCAAGTTGTTCATGAAAACAGCACATCTTGAAGTCAGGGTTTCATTCAGCAGTAAAGACGATCTACATTATTGGCTTGTTTTTGCAGAAATGTTAGTTTATTCTGCTACTCTGATTGCCATAACGACAACGTTTTTTAATACTCTTCATAAAAACAGTAAAACCAGCAGATTTTAAATCTATACTACTTCAAACTCCGGTCCAGATGAAACTGACTTCACCGTAGATTATTTATGAGGTGATTTTATGCCTTCCACTTCAGAATTAGACTAGACCATAACATGACTAAACAAATATTTTAGTCTATAAAATTACTAAAATTTAAGTCAGAATGTGTGAAATGTTTATCAAGCTTTCAGTTCAACTACAGCAGAATTTTAAAATATATATAAATATATATAAATTTTGTTGTTTCTCAGTTTGTAGTGAACTGCTTCCTTTGGACTTGATTTCAGCATGTCAGCCAGCAACATTTACTCAGATTTAATTTATGTCTGGTTAATTTATGCTGATTTGTTGTATGTAAATCTTCTATGAAATAAATTCTTATTGCGTGAACTAAAATGTTCTCAGTCGTGTCAATAATTGTATTGAATGGTTTTTTTTTAATGTTGTTTGAGAAAGTCTGATTCATGATTAATTTCACAAGAAAATAACAAATAACAATTTATTTTGGGGGCGGGGGGGTTGTGGTTTTTTTTTTTGTTTTTTTGTTTTTTTTTTACAAATGTGCTAAACGAGGTTTGGTAGTAGCTGAGAATCATTCTAACACAAATTTAGTGCTAACAAATGCTACGGTGTCATCGTGGCTTAATTTGAGCCAGATCTTGCTGGACCAGGATCCGAGAACTCTTATTTTGACAGGGTGTGTTCCAGCAACTGTTTGCTTGGATCCAGTAACACAAATCTCCACCTCCAAGAGCTCTACTGAACTAGACTGGTCTGAATGACTATCGGCCAGTAGCCCTCACCCGATAGTCGCTAAATGCTTCGAAAGACTGGTCATGACCCACATCAAAACAACCATCAACGAGGACCCTCACCAGCACACATACCGCAAGAACCGATCAATAGAGGATGCCATCTCCTCTGTGGTCCACACTGCTCTCACCTACCTGGAGCAGAAGGACTCCTACGTCCGTATGCTCTTTGTGGACTTCACATCTGCCTTCAACACCATGATCCCTCAAACCCTGATGGACAAACTACTCACACTAGGACTAAGCCCCTCCATTTGCAACTGGGTCCTAGACTTCTTAACAAACCTCAGTCTGTGAGGATCCACAACTTCTCCTCCTCCACCATAACCCTCAGCACTGGCTCTCCTCAGGGATGTGTGCTGAGCCCTCTCCTGTTCACTTTGCTCACGTATGATTGTGCAGCTACCCATCTGGGTTGTCACATTGTAAAGTTTGCAGATGACAACAGTGGTTGGATGCATCACAAACAATGATGAGTCCAGCTACAGGCAGGAGGTGGAACACCTGGAGAGCTGGTGCAAAGAGAATAACCTTCACATCAATGTGAAGATGACAAAGGAGATGATTGTGGACTTCAGATGAAAAAAATCCACCCACCCACCCCTGAACATAAGAGGCTCTGTGGTGGAAGTGGTCTCCAGCTACAAGTACTTGGGTGTACACCTGAATGACAACCTCAACTGGAGCAACAACACTTCCAGCCTGATTAAGAAAGCTCATCAGAGACTCTAGTTCCTCAGGCGGCTGAGACGAGCTAACTGGGAAGCTCAGTCCTCACCACCTTCTACAGGTGTGCAGTGGAGAGCATCCTGTGCTCCAGCATCAACGTGTGGCATGGAGGCTGCACAGCTGCAGAAAGAAAAGCTTTGCAGAGAGTGGTGAAGGCTGCACAGAAGACTGGAGTCCGTCTCCCCACCATCACAGACATCTACACCTCCAGATGCAGGAAGAGGGCCACCTGCATCATGAAGGACCCCACTCACCCAGCACACTTTTGTCCCCGCTCCCTTCTGGAAGGAGGTTGAGGAACATTGTGTAGAACCACTAGACTGAGGAACAGCTTCTACCTTGACGCTGTTAGGGTGCATTCACACCAGCCCTGTTTAGTCCGCTTTAATCGAACTCTAGCTCGTTTTCCTAGAAAGTCCGGTTCGTTTAGGGAGGTGTGAACGCGAACTCTGTCACGGAACAAAAAGGCGAACTCTGGCCCAGGCTAAAACCTAGGTCTCGGTCCGGTAGAAGAGAACTCCAGCGCGGTTCCAGTACAGTGTGAATGCAAACAGACCGGCCCGCTCCGCAGGACAAACAAGCACGCATTGCTCTGACCTTATGGAGCCGTCAGCTGCCTTGTGTGAAAAACAATATTCTCCATGTTCTTCTGTCTCATCTTCTGCTCATGCTAAGTCCATTTTTGAAAAATGAAAAAATATAACTCCTAAAACTGCTAAAACTTGATGCCACTTCATTTTTATTTTTATTTACAGAAGAATAAGAAGACATGTCTTCAGAGGTTTTGTGTAGTTTCTTTCAGTAGTTCTTGGTGCAGCGCCCCCACAGGCGATCGGGGGAACAGATTGGTTCAACAGGTTGACTTGACTGCACAGTGCAGTGTGAATGTAAACGCATCAGCTCAAATGTAAACAAAAGGTCATAAATATTGGTCCCGAACCGAGTCTACTGGACTATCTGGTGTGAAAACGACCTTAGACTCGAATCTCTAACCAGGATAATCACTGTGAAAACACATCATGTTGCTGCTGATCTGTTTCATGTTGCTGCTGATCTGTTTCATGTTGCTGTGTTGTTGGTGGGTACGATAATCACAGCCAGGTATGAATCTTAGTGCACCATGATAGACAGCATCCAACATCTGCAGGGTGCTCATCTGCGTGCTCATCTGCTCACACAGACTCATGTTTGTGCTGCTGTTTGGCATATTGTTTGAGTACTACTAGTGCTTAGTGTATTTTTAGTTGACGTTTTTCTTAGTTCATGTTTTAGATCTTAATGTTTGTCTTTTACATTTTATACTTTTGTTGGATGTAACTGGGACCCTGTGTACACAATTTTGTTCCACCACATGTACCACATGTGGTGCGAATGACAATAAAGAAACTGACTTTCTACCGCTGACTTTATTATTAAATTATTTTTAAATCATAGTGGAACTATCCGGATTGTGTTTGTCATTGCAGGCACCTTTTGGTTTCTACTTCCAGCTCAGAAAAGGTGGTGATGTTTAGTGTAGACAGGTGATGTTGAGATAAAACTAAATTTGCTCAGTATAGCCTGAGATCACTTTGCCATTAGTTGTCCTCTTCTTCTGATGAACTTTCCCCATCACTTCCTATTGTTATGTACACACAGTGAGTTTTCTTTTACTTACATGTGGAGGTTTGTATTAGCAGCAGTATTCGGCCGAGGACAGTAACTACCAGGTATGGCAGTGGTTAAACTTGACCAGCGAGAAGTAGCAGGTGTATGGATGTAGTTAGTGGCAAGACTCATTTTAAAAGTATGGATGGAATTAATGCCAAGGGTAAGTTTAAGTGCGGGCTGTGGCTACAGAGATTTGTGGTCAGATTTTATTTATTTATCGCAACATCACCAATCTACACCATTTTAGCAATGGATATATTTATATAAATTCAAGAACATGACTGACTTTTTATAATTTTTATAGGAATTGGGACTGATTGTTTTTCTGCACATTTTCCAGAAAAAAATTGTTCAAATTGTAATTCGTTCTCCTCGATGTCACTAAAATCTAAATAGATTTTTCTTGAACCTGTCTGGGGAGGGACTGTGGGCCACTAGCTGGAGACCAAAATGCACCATTTTTCACGTGGAATAACTAATTTAGTATATGCAGCATGCTTGTTGCATGCATGTTGTCATGCATGTTGTCATCTTTCTTTGTTGAAATCAGGTCTCTCTTGTAAATGAGTCCTCGAGGCTCAATGGGATTTACCTGTATAAATAAAGGTTGATTGATTGCTTGCATGCTTATGTAATTGCAATATTCCAACAACATTTCCACAATTTAGTCAGAGTATCTTAAATATTTTCTCAGTTTGTGCATTTTTTCTCCAATCACTCTGTGTCTTATTGGGTGCCATATCATCCCACAGCTGTCAAACATTACAGCGGTTTCTGAACACGAACAAACTTTTCTGGGATTCTTTTTCTTTTCCCGCTAGTTTGTGTAAAAATGATCTTGAATGAAACTGGTCAGTGATGAAAAATTGTTTGGAATGGGAGAGTAGTTGGATCTTAATCAACCGTGAAATGAGCCTAAAATAATCGTCTTTATATTTTACAATACTATTAGATCTACTTTACATGTAATTTTTATTTAGTAATTAACACGTAATATTTGTTATCACTAGTGATGGGCACAGCTAACCAAAACGTTAGCTTCGCTGATCCATAGTTCGCTAACTAAAAATGACCTTCGCTAACACTAAATTATAAGTGTATTGCTGTCAAGGATTAATTAAAAAATAATTATTGTATATTATACAAATGTGACAACTGTACAAACGGGATAAATATAACAACAAAAATTGTGAATTTTTGTGATTTTTTTTTTTTCTTTTGTGATCATTTTTATCACCTTAGTAATTAACACTTAATATTTGTATTGCACCTTTATTTATTGTTTATTTATTTATTTTGTGTTTTGTTTTTTGAATGTGCAGACTTAACTTTTTTAGATTTTTCTATCTGGATTATTGAGCATGCGTCATGAAATTTTTTTTATCAAATAAAAACAATTAAAAAATTAAAACCCCAAAAATAATAATTAAAAAACCTGCGTCTACCAACCTCGTCTTGTACTAATGTCTAAGGGACTCTTTGAGACATGCCCACAACAGACAGGAACAAACTTGTGAAGTTTGTTAGAGAACTTAAAGTCGATGAAAGTCTGTGTAAGTTATTCTGCTAACACTTTCCAAAGTTAACTAAAACGCTAACAAAACAAAAAACAGTTCTGCTATTAGCAGTTAGCAGATTAGCAGAACTATGCCCTCTACATGGTCTTCACTCTGCGCTTGAAATTTGGCATTAACGACCTTCCATACCCCTGAAGTCCTCCGGGTACAGTTTGGGGGACCGGTCTGACTCGCCAGACTGACCCCGCCCAGGGTGACCGTGGGCCGGCTGCTGATTTGAGAAGGGGCGGGACAGGTGAGGAGAGAACCTGAACGCACCATATGAGCCCCGCCATGTGAAGGTACGAGACAAGTCTGAGCTTTTTGTTGGCACGTAACGTGTTTTAATCTTCGTCGGACATTTTCAGACCATGTTCCGACCGTTTTAGGACAAGCGATGAAACGACAGCTGTCGGCACCTGTTTGACACTGAATGTAACTTGTACTTTTATCGTTAAGAGCAGAAAAGTCGGCACTACTTTCACTTTTTTTAAAGTTTCAGTTCAAGGCTTGTTTCGTGGTCATGGAGAGACACGAGTATCCTCATCCTTTCATCTCCGAGGTGAAGCTGACCACAGCCCAGCTGCTCCGGGTGAGTTACATTTACTTTAATACTCGTCATTAATGACACGGCGCAGACATTAGTCTGCTCCTCTTACAAAGGAAAGAAACTAAATCCAGCCGCGCTCAAACACCTGAAGCCAATTAAGTGATTGGACTCAGGTGTGTTGATTAAATGCCAAGTTCACCATAGAATGCTTATCGCCCGCCTCTTTTCGTGCCAAAGTTCAACTGAGATTATCTTGTTGAGAAACCAAATCTGGTAAAACGAGTTAAAGCTGTTTTGATAAAACGATTAAAATACCGGAAATGACGCTCAGATCACGTGTTGGGGGATGACTCTCAGCTACTACCACACCAAAGCTCAGCATCTGTCAAACTGAGGCCTGTTTTGAACTGGGTCGTACATCTAATTAAGTTTCATTACACTCTGTACAGAGATATTTTGCTAACACGGTGTTGATTTGAACTTGTTAACGTCAGTTTTGAAGCAAAGCTGTAGCCCTTAGAGCATGTGTTGGGGATGATGCTCAGCTACAACCACACCAGCATTTATTTCTGTGTAAAATTGACTGAATTCTAATGTTTTCATAGGTTAGCTGGGTGTGGCGGCCATCTGGAGTTGAGTAACCTCAAAGTTATTTGTAGATGCACGTCTCATGATTATTTTTCTAGTTGATGAGCTGTGTTGCTACACACGAATAAGCAAAAATAGTTGTTTTTTTTTTTTTATTTTTAAAAAAACCTAATTGCACTTTTCGCTTTCGGCGTTGATGATGTGCTGTATATCTAAACGTAGAAGCTCAATTAAATAGTTTGAAAACATTCATTTAGAGCTAGTTCATACATTTATTGCCTTTTAACTTTACTGTGACTTTCAGGTGAAGCCGCAACAATAAAAAATACATTTACTGTATATAAAATTGTAGTACCGTATTTTTCGGACTATAAGGCGCACTTAAAATCCTTTTTAATTTTCTCAAAAATCAACAGTGAGCCTTATAATCAGGTGTCTTATGTGTTAATTCTGGTTGTGTTTACTGACCTATTATTACCTTATTGTGAATGAGTTGAATAAAGTTTGACTTATCTGTTTTAGTTTCTCTTAATGCGCCTTATTATCCGAAAAATACGTTCCTGTTAAATGTTGCTCTGTCTTAATTTCTGCTGTTTGAGTTGCATGTTTTTGGTGTACTGGTTTTTTTTTGTGGCGTTCCTTTCACGTTTCCCTGCATGTATTGGTGTTCAAGTGTTGGAAGCAACACCTACACCTCATTAAGGACAAATAGTTTTTTAGTGTTTGACTCGTGAAGAAAACAGACGAGTCACGAACAGGTCAGTCCGAGGTGTGTCTGATAACATACCACAGAGTTGCATAACTTTGCTGGGTGCATCTGCAGGGCTGGGTAGTAATCGATGACACAACTGGTCCGTGCACAGACGTCACTGTGTACAAACTTGTTCACATATGGAGATTTTTTTAACTTTTAAAATTTGAGACGTTGTAAATATTAAACTGAAATAAATTTCCAACAAACGAGGAAAATTCCAGATTAGAAACGAATAATTTCAGCTGTTTTTACCTTTTTTTTTTCTGTAAATGAAATATTCTAAAATAAATAAATAAAATTCTGGTGTTGTTTTAGGGATTAATCCTGGGCAGCATCCTGGTTCCAGTCCGCCTCATTCTGGCGACCTTGTGTTTCCTCATCATGTGGCCCGTCGCCTGGCTCAGAGTGGCCGGCCTCTCCAAGGAGGAGCGCTCTCGGCCCATCACGGGCTGGCGCCGCTGGTTTTACCAGCCCATCATGTTGTATCTGAGCCGGGCCGTGTTCTTCTCACTGGGCTTCCTGTGGGTTCGAGTCAAAGGTCGCCGGGCCGACCTGAAGGAGGCGCCGGTTCTGGTGGTGGCGCCCCACAGCGGCTTTCTGGACATGCTGGTTCTGTGTCCAACCCAGCTGGCAACTGTTGTGTCGCGCTCGGAGAACACCAAGCTGCCCGTTATCGGAGGTGAGTGGCTGCAGGTTGACCAGTTCAGGTTATTTATTTAGTGCCCGTTCACATCAGAAGTTACAAAAAGTCCAAATAAAATGCATTCAACTCCACACGGTCTCAAACAAATCCAGATTAAAATCCAGCTGCATACATTCAATTTAATCTAGTTATAATGCAAAACAGATAAAACACAAACTTATTCAGTGTTTGACAGTTTGAAGCTGCTGTTCAGGTCTGTTAAACTGGGCTTCTGAGGAACAGTTCTAAAGAATATCTTACCTGCTGTAGATCGCTCTTTGAGCAGCCTCACTTCAATCTGCAGAAGCAGAATTGAACTGTTACGTCAGCAATGAGCTAATGTTCTGAGTGGAGCCAGGGCTGCAGTTTTCCAAGTCGTGCACACAATAATACGCCTCTTACAACTTTTAGATGCGAACTGTTGCAGCTCATTGACCGGAAACCACTGATTCATAATTATTTTAACTAATAAACCACTTTATTTCCATACATAAATGTCTCTGAGGCTACATCGTGAGACGGAGCTTGGATAATACATCTGTGTAAAAGTACATCTCTAAAGTAAAACAGAAATAACTACAGAAATTGCATTTCCTGTGAAAATGCAGTGTGCTTATTACAGAACTTGCTGTAAAACAGCTGACAATAAGTAAATAAACATGCTGGAATGTAGCTGAAATGGAAGAACAAGCCTAAATTAGAAGAAGAAAACGGAACACGTACTTTTTGAATTAGGTTTAATTAAACAGAAATTAGCACAAAAAATGGGAATTTAGCTAAAAAAAACCTGAAATTAGGAAAACATAGTTGAACAGTAGCTGAAAAGGCAGAAAGAAGCTTAAACTTTCAGAAGGAAGAGGAAAGCAATGGAATGAGATAAAAAAAAAATAAGTGGAATTAGCTTAAAAAGCTAAAATTAACATAAAAATGCTATATAGTAGCTGAAATAGCAGAAAAAGATGAAATTATCAGAAAAAACTGAAAGGAGTTGCTGAAATTAGCAGAAAGAAGTTAATTAGGCTAAAAGGAGCAGAAATTACCATGAAAAACTTGAATTTGTCTGAACTGCTGAACAGTAGCTGAACAGAACAGCTGAAAGTAGCTAAATGATGCTAAACACCTAGCTGAAAGGTAGAACAAACTTAAATTATCAAAATAAAACAGAAAGAACTTGTTTTCTGAAAGAAGCATAAATGAGTGCAAAAAAGTGGAAATTATCAGGGAAAAAGCTGAAATTGGCAAAGAAACAGCTGAAAAGTAGCAGAAAGAAGCTTAAATTACCGCAAGGAACTGGCGAGAGCACATTTTTGCTGAATTAGGCTAAAAATGGTTTGAATGAATGCAACAAATGTGGCATTTCATTAGCTGAAAAAGCTAAAATTGGTATAAAATTAGCTAATTATTAGCAGAAATAGCTGGAACTTGCAGAAAAAAAAAGCTGAAATAAGCAGAAATAAGTTGGAAGAAGCACAAAAATGTTGTGTTGGCAGAAATTATCTGAAAGGAGCACACAACAGCTGAAAAAAAATGGCTGAAATCAGCTGAAAGTAGCTGAATAAAAGTTTTAAAATTACACAAAGAAGCTGAAAGAAGCTGAAGCAGAACAAAATGTGAAAGGAGCAGTAAAAGGTTGTAAACACATCTAAAGATATGAAGGATGGAAAATGAGCTCCATTCATTTTCTATGAGGAAAAAAATGGCAGAAAAGGCTAAATATTTCAAAAAGCTAAAATTGCACCAAAACCAAAAGTCAGAGCAGGATTGTCGTGAACAAGCTGAACGTTTTGAGCTTCAAAACTACGGACGAGAGTCGTCCCTAAAAACACACGTAAGAAAAATGGATCACAAGAGAGTGAATGCTTCATAAACATTCACTAGATAATATAAAATGTCAACACTTGGTTTGAGTAATGGAGTCATGGCTGTTCTGAGTGGCTCTTTGGTAAAGTGAGCAGATCCTGGACGCTCAGGGACTTTCAGGACCAGCCTTGGCCACTTGATGCAGGGTCTGTCTGTCTGGTACTCTCTCTGGAACTCTGGGGTTAGTGCTGGACCATGAACAGACCAGTAAGTGATGAGTTTTACCTTTTGGCTCGGCTCTTTGTTCTCCACCAGAACCATGCCCTTGTTCGTCCTGCTCCATCATCTGCTCCGTCCTGCCGTCACTGAATTAACAAGACTCTCAGATGAACTCGTCAGTTTTAGAGAGGCTCATCCCTGAGCTCGAGACGTTCCATTATTTATTTATTTATTTATTTTATTTTTTGGGTTGTACCTGAGCAGTGTAAAAGCTTCAATGGAGCCAAAACACACACCAAGCAACAACATGTGGGTTCAAGGAATCTTCTTGTGGAAGTCTGTTAAACTGAAAGTGTGATTAAATACTAGATTAAGTCAAATTAAAACAAAAAAACATATGATTTTGTTAAACTAAATGTTTTTAGACTTTGAACTTACTTTATGGTCTCCATCTGAAGATGTGGATAAACCTGCTTTATCTGCTGTTTAGTGCGACTCATAAACCCTGCCCATCGGACGTGAACAGATGGATAGAAACAAACAGAAATATTTTTTAAAAGTTTGATCAAACCTGATCTTCCTTGTCCTGCAGTCATTTATGTGCAGTTTCAGTTGGCACCTAAGCTGGTTCAAAGAAAACAAATGGTCACAAGTCTTTATAGTTTGGGAGAAGAAACTTGTCCAAAGATAAAGGAGAGGGTTAGAGTCCCAGCAGAAAGATCATGGAGATGGCTAGTGGATTTGAACAATTTATTCTAAAGAAATGTTGAGCAGTAAATCCCAGGGATGATGGTTCAAGATGCATTCTGTCCTCAGATTGTCAGAATGTCCATTTAAACAAAGCTCATCAGTAAAATGTAAGAACAGCAATCTCACTCCAACTGGAGGGTCGTTCCATCTAAACCCAGCCCAGCATGACCTGATGTGCTACATCATAAATGACATTTCTGTTGTCTCCTAATGAGGACACCGTACGGTTTTCCACAACATTTAGAAAATTGGCAACACAAAATGTTATAAAGAAACTGAAAGTTAAACTTGGTTTCATTTTCAGAAACAGATCCTGTCTAACCCTGAATGCTAGGAAACGCCTTGTATCTGTGACTTTCCTTCCCTCCATTGATTACGGTGACATTATTTACATGAACGCTCCTACAAGAACCCTGCAGATGTTGGATGCTGTCTATCATGGTGCACTAAGATTCATAATTGGCTGGGATTATCGTACCCACCACTGCTCCCTGTATTCACTGGTTAACTGGACATCATTAACTTCACGCAGACTCTCTCACTGGTACTTTTTCATCTTTAAATCACTTCTTGGTCTGCTGCCTTCATACAGGTCCTTCTCAAAAAATTAGCATATTGTGATAAAGGTAATTATTTTCCATAATGTAATGATAAAAATAAAACTTTCATATATTTCAGATTCATTGCACACCAACTGAAATATTTCAGGTCTTTAATTGTTTTAATACTGATGATTATGGCATACAGCTCATGAAAACCCAAAATGCCTGTCCCAAATAATTAGCATATCATGAAAATTGTCTCTAAACAAGCTATTAACCTAACCATCTGAATCAATGACGTAACTCTAAACACCTGCAAAAGATTCCCTTGACCTTGGGGGACCTGCAGAAGCAGTGGACTGAGTCTGGAGTAGAAACATCCAGAGCCACCGTGCACAGGCGTGTGCAGGAAATGGGCTACAGGTGCTGCATTCCCCAGGTCAAGCCACTTTTGAACCAGAAACAGCAGCAGAAGCGCCTGACCTGGGCTACAGAGAAGCAGCACTGGACTGTTGCTCAGTGGTCCAAAGTACTTTTTTCGGATGAAAGCAAATTTTGCATGTCATTCGGAAATCAAGGTGCCAGAGTCTGGAGGAAGACTGGGGAGAAGGAAATGCCAAAATGCCAGAAGTCCAGTGTGAAGCACCCACAGTCAGTGATGGTCTGGGGTGCCATGTCAGCTGCTGGTGTTGGTCCACTGTGTTTTATCAAGGGCAGGGTCAATGCAGCTAGCTATCAGGAGATTTTGGAGCACTGCATGCTTCCATCTGCTGAAAAGCTTTATGGAGATGAAGATTTCATTTTTCAGCACGACCTGGCACCTGCTCACAGTGCCAAAACCACTGGTAAATGGTTTACTGACCATGGTATTACTGTGCTCAATTGGCCTGCCAACTCTCCTGACCTGAACCCCATAGAGAACCTGTGGGATATTGTGAAGAGAAAGTTGAGAGACACAAGACCCAACACTCTGGATGAGCTTAAGGCCGCTATCGAAGCATCCTGGGTGTATTATGAAATTCTTTATCAAAAGGGCTCGTTGAACGGTCGGCAC